TAAGATTTTTGTAATATATAAATTTGCTGCATGTTATATTTTTGGAAGTCCTTTCTCAGACAGACACCATGTCTAGAACTGAAACAACTTTTCCACCACTTAAGGCCACAGTACCTCTTGCGGTCTGGGCATGTGCCACACAGGATTCGAACCCACGACCGCAATGGTTCGGGATTCGTGACACGTGGTTTAGCAGCTTGCGCCACACAGAAGACGCAAATAACTGAGCTGCAGAGGAGATCCTTCAGTATAAGAATAAGCACACAAAATCATGTTAACGCAATTAGCATGCTAAGCTAGCTCAATGCTAACGTAGCTAATGGTCATCCTGATAGCTGAAGAGCCGCATTCAAAAGAATTGCACTTGGTTAGCATGCTAAACAATTATTATGCTAAGCTAACTAGCATAAGTCAACAAACACAGGCTAGGTCAACTTTGGAGGCAAATATCTCTCAAACGATAGCGAATATCAAAAATCTGTTCAGTCATTTCTGTGCGGCTCGGTCCAAAGATTATCTGACAAAATTTTAAACAAATTCGAGCAAGATTTGCAGGAGGAGTAGCGAAAAAATGGTTTTTCATTTGCTCCAATATGGCGGACAGTCACATTGTTGGAAAATGAAAAATGAGACATCGGTGGAATCGTTATAAGCCAAGGAACATATTGACATAAAGAAATTACATTTTGAACAATATTTGCAAAAGTTATAAGCGTCTTTACAAAAAACCTTATAACTTGGGAACACTAGGTGGCGCTGTGATAAAACTTCTCATGTACCTTCAGGGCATGCTAATGATGATCCATGCCAAATTTGGTGAAGAAATGTCAAAGAGTTTTAAAGATATTACAAATTATGACAAAATTCAAAATGGCGGACACGAGGTATAGTCCATCATGGCAAAATCGATATCCACGGATTCGGCATGATCCAAGGAATCCATAGATACCACATTTATGATTTTCTGAAAAACTGTTCAAAAGTTATTGGCCAAAATAGCACTTTTGCATATCTCATGACCCGTAGGTGGCGCTATTCCCAACTTTGGTATGGAACCTCAGAACATGCTTCCGATGAAGCGTACCAATTTTCGTTTCGATTGATTCAATTTTGGCCGAGATACAGCCTCTTAGCCAATTTTGGGTGGACCTCGTTAAGTTTGCGACACCATAACTTTTGAACAAAGATGAATAAAAAAAATCTGTTCAGTCATTTCTGTGCGGCTCAGTCCGAAGATCATTTGAGCAAATTTTGGACAGAATTGAACAAAATTTGAAGGAGGAGTAGGGAAAAAACTGAATACTGTACATTTCAAAATGGCCTCTACTGTAATGGGCGGGGTCTTAATGTAAGGTATTGGTTGTGATCAGCATGATGAGAGGAATCAGGTGTACTAAGTTTCATGTCTCTAGAGCAAAGGGTTCAAAAGTTATAACCATTTCAATGTTGAATTTTTGAACTGGTGGTGGCGCTATAGAGTTGGTCCTAGAGGGTCAAAAATTGGACCAATTACTAATAATTACCATCACTACAAGTGTGCCAAATTTCAACATTTTCCTACTTACGGTTCATAGGGCTGCCATAGACTTCCATTTACGGAATAATAATAATAATAATAATAAGAAAAAAAACTAACAGATACAATAGGGGCTATCCCCTTCGGGGCTTGGCCCCTAATAAAACCAACAGATACAATAGGTGCCTCTGCACCTTCGGTGCTTGGCCCCTAATAATAATAATAAAACCAACAGATACAATAGGTGCCTCTGCACCTTCGGTGCTTGGCCCCTAATAATAAGAAAAGACCTCCTAAATGAGGATAGTTTCCTCGATACAATTAAACGATAGAACCACCGAGATCTTACATTCAACAAGATGTTAACAATTGTTAGAAATATCGCATTGTCAATCGTTAGGGACTATGAATCGTCCATGAAGTTTCAACTTAATACCAGTGTGCAACTGATTTTCGTTCAGTGTTGACTAAACATCAATACTAACTCTTTTACCTTCAATGTAAGCAAAGGCACCTATAAATGATGCTCTTTTGCCTTCTTCTCTGGCTTTCTGAACCATAGGCCAAGCTTTGGCCCGAACCGCTCGTTCATCGGGTGACAAGTCTTCTTTTAGACGGAGATGGGCATTTCGAGCCTCTTGCATCCCTCCATACAATATCACGATAGTGGCGCATGCTGAATTGAATAATTATGTTTCTCGCAGTGTTGCCATCTTTCTTTTTTCCAATTCTGTGCACGGAATCCACCACCTCAGGTAATTTTCCAGCAATTTTTGGAGAGATCTTGCCAAGAACTTGAATCGCCAGCTGCCGAGTGTCCTCCTGTTGATTTTCCTCTTTTAAGCCCTGCAACCTCAACTCCCATCTTCGTCGATAGCTGTTCGCCTCCAGGAGTTGAATTTTAAGTTGTCTGTTTTCCTCTCTCAGATCCAATGCATTCTTTTCCAATGCAACGATTCTCTCGCTGTGGTTGGCCGTATCTTTAAGTAACTTTTCAACGGTTTCATTCAAAAAGGTCATGGCATGATCAGTACTTCTCACCGTTGTCTCAATTGAAGTAACCTTTTCGAAAATTACCTCACATCTTGCAGAGAGAGACTGGATAGCGGCCATAACCTTGTCTAAGTCCGAGTCAGAAGATGTAATTTTCCCTTTTTTTGGAGCTGGGCTTTTAGCTGGGGTGCAAGGTAAAGAAGTTGCTGAGGATTTCTCCATTTCAACAGAATCAACTGGAACATCATCGTCGCCGTCGGGATACGAAGCAAAGAGCTGGGATGGAACAATATTTCCATTTTTCTCCATGCTCGTTACAGAGTGTTGTTTCGCTTTGCGTTTGCCCATATAACCGAATTTTCAAACCAAAATAATAATAGTCCCTAATATATCATTAGCAAAATGAGAAGATTAAAGCATTTTACTTCCTTATTGCATGTAAATCACGATGATGTCTGAGGATTAAGACCGCAGCGTGTCAGCTTGGAATAGCGCCATCCCTGCCCCTCAACTAATACCTTGCTCTGATTGGCTCTAGCTCATGACATCACTGAGATTGAGTCGCGCGAAAGCTCTGGATATCTAGCATGCTAGATATTTTTCTGAGCTCGGCGACGTGTCTGCGAGCTGTCTTTGATGCGTTGTTGGCTCTTTCATACTAACAGATTGGCGAGCGTTAATCGTCCGCTAATCGCCCGCGATTTGCACGCAATAACACCCCGACTTGTCGGTGACTCAACGATTTGCAAATCGGGCTTAAAATCATGTAGTGTGAACTAGGCTTTAGTATCACCTAGACCGATATTTGTAAGGTTAATGATCTAGACTTCTGGGATAATTCTAAACATGGAGATGACTACTATGACTACTTATAGTTTCCGACCTCCCCAGCTAGAAATGTTTTATTCTAAAAAAGTTCTGGGAACATTACCACAGAGTTCTAATAATGTTTCCAGCGGGTAGTTTTATTTTGGTCCCCAGAATGTTCTCCTAAAAGGAACACAGCAAAAACTCCAGTGATAAAAGTTAAAGAGATAATTAAGTGATTAATTGAGTGATGATTGAGCATTATTGAAGACACCTGATGTTAACAAGCAGAATCACTGAAGGAGAAAATCACTATTTTTTAGTTACCCTTATGGTGATTAGTGTGTGCTTTAGTTGGGCTCTTGACCCTTACATTTTTAACTTTAGATTTTGTTTGGCTGTTGTAACTGAGTTATAATTGTCAGTTGAACAAAGAGAAAGTTAATCTGAAGATGTTGGTTATGTTTTGACATAATCGTAATTTTACCTGAATCAAAAATCTAATTTAGAGCTTAATCTCTGACTTATTATATGATTTATATTGTCGGTTGCAGCATCACAGTGATTCTACAGCATAAGAGCCAGAATTTTCAATATATTCTAAAAGATTTCTTAAAACTTGTTCTGATAAAATAATAAAAAAAATTGTGTAGGTACAAACAGACATCAAGCATGAGTGTATGAATCTCAACAATGGTGACAAATGAAATATTTAATTAGGAAAAGGACAGTTCAGATCATAATTTATTCATACTGCAATGCATGATGGGAACCATGAATGAGTTTTGACTGGTGGCACCCAGAATGCACTGCAACATGGTTTTTTATTGTCATCATTGTTGAGATTCACAGGCTGAATCTTGATGTCTGTGTGACTTAATAAAAAAATCTTAAATGTGACTTAAATATTCTGAACAGAAATATTAATATTTATGATTCTATAGAAAATGCTACAAATTGTATGCTGTAGAATCACCAGGCTGCTGTAATCAACAAGGTGACCCTAATTATCTAAATTGTAGTCCTCTGTTGTAAGTCACTTTGGCTAAAAGCATCTACTAATTGTAAATGATGTTTATTGGTTCAAGTCAAATGATGATTACGGCTAAATATATCCATCACCACCTGAACATCATTCTCTTTGTTCATGTGGCAGTTACAACTCAATTATAACAGCCAAACAAAATCTAAAGTTAATAATTCAAGGGTCAAGAGCCCAACTAAAGCAAACACTAATCACCATAATGGTGACAAAATTAGATTTTCTCCATTAGTGATTCTGCTTGTTAACATCAGGTGTCTTCAATAATGGTCAAACGTCACACAATTAATAACGTAACCCACTAAACATTGGACGTCGGATAGACGTGCAGATCATGTCTATATTGGGTCCGTCGGTCCATGACCAATTGTGGACGTCTATTCGACGTCCAAACTAGGTCTGTTATTTGGACGTCCAACCATGACCCAACTTGGACGTCATCTTGACGTCCAACATTTGACCTTAAACTGGGTAACTTTTTTTGGACGGCATTTGAACGTCTTTTGACAGTTGCTGGAAATTATTGATTTGTAATATTTGTTTTATTTTTATTTTTTTATTTATATATAAATAGGCCCCCCTACAATAAAAATAAAATCAAAAGCAAATATGGTATACAAATATCATAGAACTAAAAAATTAGTTTTAACTTCATGATTTAATATTAATGACATTATACATTATTATAAGATGTTTTTCTTAATGCTGCGTGCGTGCCTTTGATGCGCGTGCGCGTGAACATTCAAATCACAGGAGCGCGCGAGCAGTTTGAATTGAAACAGGAAGCGTCGTGCCGTCGTCAACTGACAAACACCAACTAGCGTCTCTCGCTGTTGTCACTGCGTTCAGGTAAGTTAAGTTAACAAAATCACACAAATACTACATAAAAATGTTCCTGACACCTTTATTGCGTGTAATTGATACGCTTCTGTTGAATATTTACTTTATAGAAATGATTTTGGGTCTTCGAAAAAGTCCGTTAGCATCTCAATCGTTTTCAGAAGAGGCTAGCAGCTAAGTTAGCTAAGGTAAGTTACTCTGAAGCTGTTTTGTATAAGTTTGGGGTTTTATCTTTGTGTAGATAATAATTTTTGATAGTTTTTTTGCTGGTAATTTACAATGGGTGATTGGAAGTAACGTTAAGCTAATTTATTTAGCCTAAAATAATGCGATGTATTATTAATCAGTGACGTCACTTAACGTTACAAAGATTGATTAAAAAAAGTGATTTCATGAGGAAAAAACGTCCACGATAAAAGGGGGATTTATTGTTTATTCATGATAGTAATGTCATATGCATTTATTTAATAATATTTATGTATACTTTCTCTTTTCTTAGCTAGAGGAGAGGTGAAATGCAGAAAAGAAATTATATATGCTTGCTTCCTTGTAATAAACCCTATGTTCTAATCCTATGTAACATTGTTGGCTGTGACACATTGCATGTTATTTTCTAAGATCATGTTGATGTCCTAAGTTACTGCACCCCCTGTCCAAGACAATCTCCACGGCTATGAACTCGACTAGTAAGCAAAACCTCAAACATACTGTACTCTACTGTTCAAAAGTTGTAGGTCTGTAGGATTTATGCTTTTGAAAGAAGTCTTAACCCCAGTTTATTTATTTATTTATTTATTTTTTTTTTTGTGAGATTGTCCTTAAGAAGCCTTTAGGCTAAATAATCAGCTAAATAATAGATGGCAAATATCATGTTATAAAGGTCATAATTATAATAATGAATTTAACTATTATGATAACAGAATATCATGGTCATTGGTATTTTTATTTTATTTCTCTAGGTGTGTTTTGAAATAAGTTGTCCAATGAGACATCGTACTGTCCAACTCAAAGGTATTTATTTATTTTTATGTATTTTTTTACTGATAAATACTGAAATTCTTTTTACTTTTAAATGCTGAATTAAGGGGGTCGACAACTTTAGGTACGCAAGTTATTTTTCACAGATATCTGGCCAGTTTACTCATGGCTCATACTCTTAGCTTTTATGTTTAAATGTTTGAATTTATATCTGCAATAGAATATTTGCAATATTAACCCTATCAGGGGGTAAAGATATCATTAGAGTTCTTTAAGGAGTAGTTCACTTTTGAAAGCTTTTGCTGATAATTTACTCACCCCCATGTCATCCAAGATGTCCATGTCTTTCTTTTTTCAGTCAAAAAGAAATTAAGGTTTTTGATGAAAACATTCCAGGATTATTCCAGTATTTTCTCCATATAATGGAGTTCAATGGGAACGGTTCAAGGTCCAACTGAGAGTTTCAGTTCAGCTTCAAAGGGCTTTAAAAACACCAGACAATGAATAAGGGACTTATCTAGCGAAACGATCGCTCATTAATAAATAAATAAAAAAGTTTAAGTTTTATGAGCACAAATGCTTGCCTTGCTCTGTTCTGTGATAAGCGTTCGTGACTCTCCTGTTTGAACTCGTTCATCAAAATGAACTAATCTTTTATCGAGTCATGACTCAAAGGGTCCTTGATAAGACCCTTATTCATCATATGGAATCGTTTAAAGCCCTTTGAAGCTGCACTGAAACTGTCTTTTAGACCTTTAACCGTTTGGTTCCCAGTAAAGTCCATTATATGGAGAAAAATCCTGGAATGTTTTCATCAAAAACCTTAATTTCTTTTCGACTGAAGAAAGAATGACATGGATTTCTTAGATGACATGGGGCAGAGTAAATTATCAGCAAATGCTTTTTTTTATTTATTTTTTTAAATTTGAACTACACCTTTAACACTTCAAAGTCTGACTGATTAAATCATATTTGAAAGCAAAGTTAAAAGTAACAGATCTCAATATTATTCTCCTCTCATGGCATAAAGGTGAGTCAGTACAAACTGTTATACCTCTGGGTATGAATGACTTCCTGTGGTGGTCCTTATTACTTTGAAGTTGAAGTAGCCTTCAACTGAAAACAGTCTGCTCTGACAAATAGTTGATGTGTTGTATTATCAGGGATACTCCACTTTGTCTGGAAATTGGCTAATTTTACAAATCCCTCAGACTCAGAGTTAAACAGTTGAGTTTTACTATTTACGATTTTCTGATATTTAGAAGAGTATCAGTAACCAGACAGTTTCTGGTCCCATTGACTTCCATAATATATGTTTTTCCCACTATGGAAGTCAATGAGAACAGAAACTATCTGGTTACTGATATACTCTTCTAAATATCAGAAAATTTGCTAAATGATTTAGAAAATGGTAAAACCCAACTGTTTAACTTTAGGGGAGTTGTACAATGAGCCTATTTCATAAAAAGTGGAGTATCCCTTTAATCCCTTTTATTTTTTTTGTGCAAAATTATTCTGAATAGTAATTTTTATTGAGTCCAATGTGTTTCCAAGTAGAGCCCTGCGCAGGACTATTTTCCTCACCCTGCCGAATCTCTGACCATTACCACCTGCTCCCGCAACGGATGTTACACTCCCGTGGGACCCGGCGGTACTCAATCCCAATGCAGCCCTCTACCAAGCACAAAGCTAACTTTTGTAAATTGCACAAAGCACAACAGGTTGATACAACTGAACGTTATTACAAACTGTTATTTCAGTGTTTTAAGTAATTTATAAGTGGTTGATGATGAACTAATCATATACAAAACATTCATAAATGTTTAGCAAGTGATATGCTAACACTTCATGTATGTTTTGTAAATTATTACAAGTCATTTACAATTGAATAGTCGTGTTTTGTAAATTATTAATCATTACGTTTCATAAATGTCAGGTGCCCAGTGGTTAGACTCCATGTGTTTTAGAGAAGACAGCTGTCTACAACCTCACTAGTCAGCAATTACACTGCAGTACACACTACAGTGTTCAACACCTGATATAGATGTGTAAAGGCATGAATTAATCATTTACACTTTCTGCATAAAGTGTGAACTATTCATCAATTGTAAATGTCTTACACTTCATTCGTAGATTGCCACTTCAAGAATCAATAAGGCATAAGATCTACGCATGCTTTGTAACACATTTACTAGCGATTACTATACACTTTAGATTAGGGGATACAGAAAGTGTTGTAAATGACTTATTCATGCATTTACACACTGTTAAAAACTGTTGCTTACCTGTTTCAAATGATATGTACATGAATACAAGACATTTACAACGCTTTCCCCCTCTAATTGCTAGATGCATACATTATTATTTTTTTCATGTATGAAACGTATATTCATGTTTTATACATTAATAATTTACTAATAACTTGTAAATGACTTGTAACGGAATTGACAAAACATTCATAAATGATTAGCAAATGATACTAATATTTTCAAAGTAGTTCATTAACTAACCACTTACAGACTTACAACTGAACGTTATTATAAGGTGTTGACAATGGTCAACATTCTAATGCACACATTAAAGAATGCAAGCTTTCTAAAAAAAAGTGCAGTCTGCTTAGTGCCTCTTTGTAGACAGCCTAAGTGTTAGTTAACAGTTGCTGAGATGGCTTAGTATTTATCCAGTAATGGATGCAAGGAAACATATTTTTGCTTACAAATGTGGGGCCTTTGGTGAATGATTTCAGATTGCCGTTGCATATATCTAAATCATATATTTTTCTGCTTGTGTAGGAGGGATCATGAAATTTGATTTTGCAGCCACAGAGAAGTAAATCAAGATGCATGTTTCTGAGCACCTCAAGCACGCGCCGCAAAGATTGGAGGTAGAGGATTCACAACTCCCTGATGAGCCAAGACGAGAGGACTTGAATTATAAATTAAATTACAATCTAGTTATTTGTTCATAATTTTGCTTTACTGTGGCCCTTCAATGACAATCTAATTATTTGTTCATAATTAAATTAAATTACAATTTTACACTACAGTGTTCAACACCTGTTATAGATGTGTAAAGGCATGAATTAATCATTTGCACTTTCTGCATAAAGTGTGAACTATTCATCACTTGTAAATGTCTTACACTACATTCATAGAGATCTACTAACTAATTATTTGTTCATAATTGTGCTAGATATATTTGGTGCCCTTCAATTGCAATCTAATTATTTGTTCATAATTAAATTACAATCTAATTATTTGTACATAATTGTGCTTGATATGTCCGGTGCCCTTCTGATGCTATTCATGGCAATTTATTTTTGAATAAAGATTAAAATGGTGATTATTGAATTGTGATTTATTTGTATGTGTATAACTGTAATGTTGTAAAGTTATATAAGTTAGAAAAACGACGTATAATATAAGTCTAAATTTGACGTTGAAAAGACGTCCATAAGTAACCACATTTGGACTATAAATAGCCCTTACACGGAGGTCCCACAGACGTCCAAATTAGACGTGCAGTTGACGTCGAAAAAAAGACGTCGTCTGGCGTTACAAAACAACCCCTTCATTGGACCGAATTTGGACGTCCAAAAATGACACGAAAAAGACGTCACATCGACGTCACGTTGCGCAGTGGGAATTATCAAATTAATTGTAACACTCATATTTGAACACTTTAACTCTTTGAGTGTGGAGTCAAATAAACTCCCAGGAGAGTAAATTTAACACTGGAGTTTTTGCTGTGTAGGATAACGTTCTTGCTTTAACACGTCACATTACAAGAACGTTTTATAAAATGCATTCCGTCATCTCAGGCCTCAGTGATATCCTCAAAACATTTTGCGAACATTGATTTAATAATGTTCCTCCTTTGTTATTATGGAACATTGTATAATCTTTTATCCCAACAACTTTCCCAAAACATCCTCAAAATGTTACAGTTAAAACATTATATCTTAGTTTACATTTAACCTTATAGAAACATTATTTGAAATGAGAAAACATCCTTAAAACATTCTTTGAATATTTCTTTAAAACATTAACCAAATAGAGAATGTTAGCCAATGTTCCGAGAACGTTCCCTGCTAGCTGGGTCGTTCACTTCACTGTAGTTTAAACAGAACCTCTCAGATCGGCTCTGTTTGCTGCATGTCATCTGTAAAAGACTGGCAATTATTGGAAAAAGTTCATATATTATACATTTAAAAAGCTTGGGGATGAAAACAAGGCAAACCATATGTCAACATTGCTTCTGAAGACTTGAACTAACAGGCTAATTGTATAACTCTATAGTCTCTTTAAATTCGGCCCACATTTCTTGTGACTTGATTTCTTGTTATGACCCTGGTTTCTGGTGGGCTGTGGGAAATAATTGCCTAATTGTCTAATTAGCCTAATTTTGGAAGTAGAACGTTTTTTTGTTAGATTTTTTCCGCTCTCTCCATGAACTAATTTCAATAAACTGAGGATATTATTCCTATCCCAACCACAGCTTTATCTGGTATAGATGTGCTTCAGGCGAAATCTAAGGTACACAACTCTCCAATGATGAGTATGTTGTCTTAAATAGAAAAGTATGTGTAATCTGAGAACACTGACTATTGTTCTGCAAGCAGCTATCATAACATGATTAAATGCACTATTGTTCCTTTCATGATCATTATTTATTATGGTTCCATTCATACCTCACTGAAATAAAGAGTTGGCAAATATCAATCACCTGTTCTGATCTTTCCTGTGAATCGGCTGTTTGGTGGAAGGCCAGGGGGAAACCGTTGCTTGGACTTGGATGTGGTCAAATGAGCCATTATTGGCATTTGCAGTAAAAGCATGATTCAACCTTGTGTTGTCCCAAACTTTGTCTGATTTTCTGTAGCGAACACAAACAGTTTTTTTTTAAGAATCAACTACAAAGTAAAAACCCCACTGTTAAATCAACACCGCACAGATTAAATATGGTCCCATTTTCACTGATGGGCAGTAACACGTTAGAAGTAACGCGTTACTGTAATCCAATTACTTTTTTCTAGTAACGAGTAAAGTCAAGTCACATTTATTTATATAGCGCTTTTCACAATACAGATTGTATCAAAGCAGCTTCACACTGATAACATGAAAGTAGCACAACACAGATCAACAACATTGCTAAACACTAAATAATCCCAACTGAGCAAGCTCAAAGCAAGCCAAAAGCAAGGCGACAGTGGCAAGGAACCAAACTCCATCAGATTGGATGGAGAAAAAACCTTGGGAGAACCCAGGCTCAGTCGGGGGCCAGTTCTCCTCTGGCTTACATTCATATTGTTTAAATATAAATATTAAATATAAAAATTGTTTATGAATAAAACGGCGCCATAACATATCGCAGGCGTTGAGTCGTCTCTTCACAGGCGTTGAGTCGTCTCATCACAGGTGTTGGGGCATCCGAAATCCCCGTGAGAGGCTGGACACAGCCTCAAAGTAAGGGATTACAATTGAAAAAACAGTAATTAGATTGCCGTTACTTCCCCGTAAACATCCTGCGTTACTGCGTTAGTTAACCGTGATTTTGTTTAGTCAGACCGTCTCGTGACATGAGTCGTGCATGAATCAAAATGATGTATGAGCGCCGCGACATCAGTGAGAGACGACTAGAGCGCGGGAGAGAGCAGCCGAGCTGCCAACTCTCACACACGCTCACACCCCCGATTTCTCGCGCTGAAGTGTCAATCCCGTCGGTCAAATGCCTGAAAGATGAGTATATTTATAAATCTAACCGTTGAGCCACATTTGTGATTGACTGGTTATAGCGCAAATTAGTTAAAATCTCCCGGAATCTAGAGCGAGCGCACATGCGAGACTGTGTTCCAAAGTCCAAACTTCGTATCGCGCGCACGACGAGGAGAGCGAGAGAGACTTGCGTACTATGCAGAGAGCATCCTGATCTGGAAACAGGACCCCCGTTGGAGAATGTCAAAATTCTACCTCAAATCTGAGCAAGCATGTCACGAGACAGCCTCACACGGTTAACTAAAGCAGCAAGCCGGTGTTCAGGAATGTGAAACTTACTGAAAAAAAAACCTGAACCCCCCATCTGACATGACCGCTGCGGCTACATGCTGATGGGACATAGCTAACCACTGTTTAACTCCGAAAGAAAAAAAAAACAGAAAAAAACTTGAAGCCAAAATAAGGCATGCAACAGCATTTTCTGTTTTGATCAACTAATTTTTGCTCCTCTCTGCACTTTACTGTTAAAAGACGTAAGTGTTAATAATTTGTAATATAGTCAGGAGCGACTTTCATGATTTTGTTGCTGTATTTTTACATCTATTCAAATGAAGGATTTTACAAAACATATTTATTTTATATGCTGGAATATGTAGAAATTTATATTAACAGAAGAAGGGCTGTCTTTATTTCATTTAAATATGGTGGAATGTGCAGAAAATAGGTTTAAATATTCAACAATTTTCTTCTAGTCTGAGACTGTTGCATTTAATTTAATTTTTGCTCGATGCAATGTGCATAAAGTTAAAATATTGAAAGAAATAAAACAAGTTTTAAAAAAAGAAAATGTTTAATTTGATTACATTTTAGATGATGGAATATGCAAAAAGAATAGAATTAGGCTGAAAGGTCTATGATTTAGCGTATTCAGGTCGTGCATCATGTTTTTGAAAAGTAACTTAGTAAAGTAACTAAAGTAACTAATTACTTTTGAAAATAAGTAATCAGTAAAGTAATTGGATTACTTTCTTGGAGAAGTAATCAGTAATCAGTAACTAATTACTATTTTCAAGTAACTTGACCAACACTGCCTATTTTACAGAGTGTTAAAGTAACACTGAAGTCGTGTTAATTAGTTAATTAGATAATTAAGTAATTAATTAAGTGTTGTTTGAGAATCACTGAAGGAAAGAGAACCACTGTCTCCTCAAAAGAGTCCGTTTACAAGCAGCAGAGGTACATGTAGCATGTTTATTTGTATACTTATGAATTCCACCCAAAAATATTTATTTTTGTATTACTGGGAGTTTTGTTTTGG